TCTTAAGAGCTCATAAAACTATTTTGAAAAGGGCAGGTACATACGAAGCTATATATGCTTCAATGTTCAGCTTCAAGAATATTCCCCACTCTTAGATAAAGGGGGTGATAGAATTTTGGGACTCGACAACTGACATTTGTTTGATGGGCTCAGAGGAGTTGACATTGACACTGTGGGAGCTGCAGGCTATCTCTGGTCTGCCAATCTTTGGACGTCGATATAAAGAATGTATTCCTCCAGATGAGGAGCTATTCCGTAGGCAACTTTCCCCCAACAGGAATAGGAGGGGAGAATTGATTTTGCTGAAAATCTTTCCTGCTGCATTGAGCCATTATCGGCGGGTTTGTAAAGAGGTCAAGCTATCGAGGCGTTCCCGGGCCACTATCCCTTTAGACATCTGGATTCGCAGTTTGGACGAAGCCCTCAAAAGTTGCCCGGGAACGTCTCGATAGCTTGGCCTCTTTACAAACCCACCGATAATGGCTCAATGCAGCAGGAAAGAATGTTGGCAAAACCAGTTCTCCCCTCCTATTCCTACTAGGGGAAAGTCGAAGTCGCATACGGAATAGCTCCTTATCTGAAGGAATGCATTCTTCATACCTACGTCCAAAGATTGGCAGATCAGAGACAGTCTGCAGCTCCCACAGTGTCATTGTCAACTCCTTGGAGCCCATCCAATAAGTGTTAGTTGTTGGGTCCCAAAATTCTATCACCCCTTTATCCAAGAGTGGAGGATATTCTCGAAGCTGAACATTGAAGCATATATAGCTTCGTATATACCTACCCTTTTCAAAACATTTTTATGGGCTCTTAAGACGTACCTTGCCCAAGATACATACCCACGTGCAGGTCTAGAGAGTTGTCCCATTGGAGAATCTCTAAGCCACTCATGCGTAGCCGGTTGTAACTGTCGGTGACTCAATAGTTTTGATTGCCCAACTTTCTCAACCACATCGGCGGCCGGCTCCAAAATGTCACACATACCAGAGCTCACCTGAGCAATGGTACTCTCCAAGGGGTTGTAGTCCCCGCACTTCAACCTGGTAGTGGTCACCCACTCAGCTGGATCTTTGTATACTGAGGGATCAAGCTCAGAGCGTGGCAGAAGAGGCGAGCGTATGAAAAATTCGTTGTAAATACTGCGGCCCCTCAGCATCTCCTCATGTTGCTCCAGCATATCAGGCATATCAGCAGTCCTGTGAGGATCGTGCTTATCATTCAATTCCCAAATGACCTCCTCATTAGGCTCACTTCGCGGCATCCCCTCCGGTCAACTCCAGTTGAACATCTTTCTTAGCAAAAGACGAAAGAATCATAAGAAGTCATGCAAGCTGATAGAATGAATGGAGCATAAAAATATTTTATATACTTCGCCCTTATCTTCCGAAAAAAAAAGCGGGGAAAGTTTTTGGAGATCCGTAGTGTCAACATTTTACAACAAACATGGTCAGCTTTAGGCTCGCACCATATTTATTGGGGGGCATTTGTTGACCCCTAATACTAGTGTCAGGATCGAGTCGACAGCGTAAGGTGGATTTCAAAAGCGAAAGAGCTCGAAATCGCGCAAAAACTCAGCCGACGCGTGTCGACCGAAAATCCAAAATCGGCGAGATGAACTCTGTTCGCGAAACAGACAGTGTCGATGCGTTCGGAGCAACGAAAACAGCTAAGATCGACACCCATATTGATGGGGGTCGCCGGTCGGCGGAAATTTAAATTTTGGGCGTGCTAATCCAGGCGACGACTGTGCGAGCGGCGACGCAGTGACCAACTCGATGCAAGATTAAATTTTTTTTTTATTTTGTGCAATATAATTAAATTTTTTTAGAAAGAGATGGAGAAAAAGAGAGCATTTTAAATAAAAAATGAATTTTCTTTAAATAAAAATTCAAAAAAAATATCTAAAATACCATCACTTAAACTAACACTCCCTCATATCTCCCAAACTGCCCACTTCTCCTCATTTTCACGCCATTTTCACGCAAGGAGCCGCCCCCGTCTTCCTCTCTTGCGATTCTTCCACACGCTAAGCTGCTGGACTCCCTTCTCCCTCCAAGCAAGGTAACTCCTTCCTCTTTTCTTTTCTTCTTCTTTTTCCTCCTCCATTATTCTTCTCTTTTTCTTCTTCTTTCTTCCTTCCCTCTTCTTCCCCTTCTCCATTTTTCTTTCTCACTCTTCTTCCCTCCATTTTTCCCTTCATTTCCTTCCATTTTCCTCCTCTCCTCTCTTCTCCTTCCTCTCCTTCATCTTCTTCTTCCTCCTCCAACCTCTCTTTTTCAAAACATACCCTAACCCTAAATCCTAATTCTTTCATATCTCCACATCCATCCCATAAACCACCCACCACCCTTCACAAAAAATATTCTTACACATTTCCTATCAAAATCTCTATCATCTTTCACTTTCTCTCTCTAACCTAGAAAGAGAAAATTTTCTCTCTAGAACAAGAAAGAAATTTCTTCATGTATGGCTCCCTTTCCATCCCAAGCATCTCTCCTCTCCACTATGCCTCCAAATTCCATTCCTAGAGAGAAAAAAATTCCACTCTCTTTCTCTCTCTAAAATTGAAAAGAAAGGGGTTTTCTCTCTCTAAACCTCTCCCCCATTTCCTTACACCTCCTAAATCCCTCTCCATGCAAATTCCCATCAAATCCTCTCTTTCCCTCTCTTTCTCTCTCTAGAAAAAGAGCTCTCTCTTTTTTCCTCTCTCTAGCCTTTGTTTTAAATAAAAAAATGCATATATGATTAATTGAATTGCACAAATAATTAAAAAAAAAATTAAATTGTGCATCACAGGTTTTCCACCGTCGCTGTCATTCGCCGTCGTCGCCTCGATTACTGCACACCCAAGGTAAAAAGCCCGACACTAGCATTTTAAATTTTTATGCATGAAATAAGTACTCGTGACCGCTTTTGTTAGCTAGCGAGGAAACTTAAGTACCCGTGACCGCTCTTATCAGCGAGCGGGGAAATTCGTGTTCATGAAATATAAGTACCCGTGACCACTTTTATTAGCGATCGGAGAAATTTTTTATTTGTAAAATTTTTTTTTATTTAGTACCCGTCACTACTTTTAGGCTGGGAAAATATTGTGATTTAGACATGTACTTAAATGCCTCGTGACCGTTTTTATTAGTGAGCGGGGAACGAGACTGCGGCCGCGGTGTCATTTGATACCTACCGTGACTGTCTTTCTTGGCAGGCGGGAAGGCCTTACACACTCCGATGCAGCCCCCTACGCGGGGACGACGCCGAGTGTTGCCGAATTTTTCAAAAAGAACCTATGACTTAGAAAAAAAATTTAAAATCCACATAAAATTCTAAGTTAACAAAAAATAAAACACACGACATTCTAGGCTCCCGACACTGGAAAACAAATATAAGAGAAATCCAAGTCATAACAAAATGCAACGTACAATGAACCTTTAAGGGAATCAGTCATTCATCGACGAGTATAAATGCTAAAACCTACGAAACTCGATCCTGTATCAGCAGCTCAACAGAGTTGACAAGGTTCATCCAAATAATTCAAATTCCTATGAAAATATAAGTGACTTTAAAGTCACCCCGATGATGGACGAGTTAAATGCTTATCTCGACCGGAGGGGTTCACAAATATTTAGAAATGTCACTCAAATACTCATAAAAATCCAAAAATCTTCAAAAACATCGCAAAAATTCCAAAACTCAAAATATTTAAAATGTAAATAATCCATCAAATCACTAAATGCAAAATCCATCCACCCTCCGTAACTGTTTGTCAAGGTGAACAAATTAAAATTTACTTTAGCTCACATAGAGCTAATGCCTAGTCGAAAATATCACTAGAATCCATTTTCAAACAATTTCTTGCCAGTAAGGACGTGGTACGTGTCCTCTAACCGGCGGTTTTGCTGCCAAATGACACAGCAGGATAAACGGTTATGACCCGGGGCCCTCTGAACCGACTGGTTTTGCTGCTAAATGGCACCAAGAAATACCGGTTATGGCCAGCGCCAATACGTTCCTTAGTGGCATCAAATCCTTGAGATATGAATCAATAGGATATAATCGATAGAGCACAAAGCCCTCTGTTAGCTAAGGTGGGCTTAAATTTGTCCCCTTAGACAAATACTCACCCTAGGTTTACAAGGTCCCCTTGGACGAAGCAACCCATGGTTGCCGATAAGGATCCTTCTGTCAGGTTGGGTCGACTACCTCCTCTGACTAAGTAGAACAGGGATCACGATGGCCCGGGACGACGGAACCATGGGATCTTGGTCGGGTCCATCATCCAATCCCCAACCATCTGCTTTAAGTGCTAGATGGTGAAATTTCTAATTTTAAATATATCAAACTCTTCAAATTTCAAATACATATTGCTGCTACTATATGCCAGATAACACGTATATCTACGTATCTGATTGACGACTAACCTTAATCGAAAGTTCTCTCTCGTGATCGAGAGGGGTAATTAACTATAGGGGCTTGCGCCTATAGGAAATCAGAACTCATATCATAAAGTCCTCGCAAAATGAGGGCGAAATCTCTAGGTGTGTCTTATCTACAAACCCATCTGCCTTCCAAAATTTACTCCGGAACTTATCCGTTAAGACTCTCTCGTTGAAGAAAAAGCAAATCTGTGCGGGCGGAGGTCGGGGTTGAATTTTCGGAGTCCTGCAGCTTTACAATTGTGAAGTACAGATTTTGTCATATAATTTCATTTCAATTATTTTTTTTCAAGTGCATCTAATCACATTTTATATTTTCTCTCACTAACCCAACTTAAATATCCTTCCCAATCACAGTGCAAGAAGCTCTTTTAATTCATGAAAGGCTCAATACCAACTCAAGTTCTATTTTTCAGTATGGTACAACAAATTATTTATGCTCCAATTTGACTTTATGCTAGATGTTTCGAGATTGCTTCGTCCATTATAAAGATATTTCTCTTACATTAAATCAACATCATAGGACATTATTATAAATGTTATTCGCTTATTCATATTATTGCCCTACAGGTAAGTTCGAGGCAAAAAGAGACCAGTAGTACATCGGGTATGCGTGAAAGTGTTGAGACCAGTTCTCTCATACAACACAGGGCGAAGGTTTCATTGTATTATTTATTTCATTCCATTTCTACACAAGGTTGACAATAATAGGCAGAACTAAAAAAATGCTTGAAAATTTAATGTCAAAATTGATCGAGTCATTTCGATCCGATCAATGTGTCTTGTGCATGCCTTGAAAATAACTTTGAAATGATTTCTAGTCAGGGTTGGCTCAATGTATTGTGATTTGAGCCAGCTTAAAATGGTAACACAACTTTTTAAACTTATATTTATGCATAGAAAGGTGAACTCAAAGATATGGTGTTCACGTTGACTCTTACTTGAACAGCTAAATTAGTTCACCATCTACCTTCTGCATCTTTGATTCATTTTTTGTGCGTATTTATTTTTAATAAAATAATTCTCTTTCAAAATGGGTTTATATTTAAACTCTTATGGGGAAGTTCAAGGCTTTAACTTCGCGTAATTATGTTATGATGTTCCATCACTTGCAGTTAAAGACTTAAGACTTTAGTGCCAAAGAATGCATTTTTATTTCATTCTGCCTTGGTTCTTTTCCAGGTTGTAGTTCCAAGCAGAATATTACAAATGGAAGAAGCAATAAGGAACCGAAATTTTTCGTCTTTTGCACGATTGACATGTGCAGACAGCAATCAATTTCATGCAGTCTGTTTGGATACTAGCCCCCCAATATTCTACATGAATGATACATCTCATAGGCATGATTTCTGTCATAGATACTTATTTATATGTAGTTAAGTATATATTTCACATTTTGAGTATCCCGGACCCATTCACATGAGAATGATTACGTATCAGGATAATAAACCTCGTGGAAAGATGGAATCGGCATGAAGAAACACCCCAGGTATGTTTGCAACATTTATTTAAAGATATTTTTTGTATAGGATGTATGAGAGCGTTGATATAATTCACATTGCATTTTATTGAACCTGATATGGATCTATTTTGTACGTTGTCATAGAGGTTATTCTACCTTTATTTTTACCTTTTTTTGTGTGTAACTTTTCATTCTTCTTTGTTATACAGCATAGCTATTTGAATGTTTGGTCTCCTTTAAGTGGTTGGATTCTGATACTCCAGAAATTCCTTTTCTAACACTCTTATTCTTTGTATATTTAGAGCTATGCTTCTGGGGTTACACTACACTCTCTGGAAGAGAAAACAACTTAATATATAGTGTGAAAAGTTCTTGATTGTACTTGGAAGTTCGATGAACTTGATTGTTATGGTAAGCACTTAAGTTTTATGAAACTATAGTTAAGCTGGATATGTTGTAAGGAACCAAATATTTGGTAGTAAAAAATTTATTGATAGCTAAATTTATAAACAAAAATGATAATATTAAGATGGTTTTATGGTAAAATTAGGAAGGATAAATTAATAAATTATATTAGAGAAACTGTTGGAGTGATATTTATTGAAGATAATGTACTTGCAAATTGATATAGGAGGCTTGAACATATAGAATAAAGGGTAGAAAATAACCATTTGACTGGTAGATGATAATAACATTGAAGGATTATGAAGGAAAACTATGGACTTAAAATAATATTGATGAAGGTTGTTCAAAATAATTTTCAATAGATTGGTTTAACACTTAAAAACAATGCTTAGCAAGAATGAATTAAAAATAATGGTTTATAAAGTCAACCCCCAATAGTTGGAACGAGATTAATGATGAAGAAGAAGGTTGACCTTACCCCTAGAGTCAGAAAATATCCAATTATGAAAGTGATTGTGTTGTGCTTCTTGATATACATCAAGAAAGGGAATGCACCTTTTGAGTAGGTGTGGACTCCTTAAGAAAGAAGAAGGGGGAGAAGAGAGACTAGAGAGGGAGAAATCATAAACTATTCAAAATGCAAAAATGCAAAAGAATAGGAAATTTATCTTTATTGGTGAGGATATTAAGGGTTTTAGAATTAATGCAAAAATGCCAAGTATCATCCTATTTTTGAATAAGCAATATTGGAATAGAAAAAGAGTTGAGATTATGAAAAATAATTTGGGGTGAAGCATTTCAGAAACTAATTGTTCTATAGCATCCTTTTAAAAATGTGGAGAATGATAAGGACGGATGTTAACTGGTTGAGATTAGGATGGAAGATGAATACAATGGTCAATGGTATGAGGTTAAGGTAAACCTTGTGGTGGCTGAAACAAATGTTGAGTTTGTTTGAGTAAGGTAGAATTTGATAATGGTAGATGATGTGTAAGAAAAGAGAAACCTATCAGAGAAGTTTGCGATTTTGGAGAAGGGATTCGGCTGACAAAATCAAGGATGCTAGCGGAGGAGGAAGTATCCTGATGGATTGGATGATGTGGAAGGTCAATACATAAGCTATCAAGTATCTTGACAATGGAATTAAGGAAATAATGGATTTGTTGAAGGGATGAACCAATGGAAGCAAATTGAACATCAACTTATTGGAGAGATTTTTGGATTTTGACAAATTGCAAGTCTTGATTACTTTGCATTGAGCATAAAGCCTCGACCAAATAGGCAGTCTTCATGTTGAATAGTGTTTACGGATGATGAAATTTTGGAAGATGTAATTCTTGATGACAAGAATTGGTACTTATACCAAAATCAAACCGTCATAATATGCTGAATATAAAAAAATAGCAAGAAAGACAAGAAAATGGAGAACCTAATAGAATTTTGAAAAAAGAAGACAAAAAGGTGGTGTGGATGGCCGCTTGTTTGCTGAAATTGATGCTGTGTATAGGGCTGCAAATGAACCAAGCCAACCCGAGCTTCTCCCTGTTCGAGTTCAAGCTCGTTTGTCAAAACAGTGCTCAAGCTCGGTTTGAGGCTCGTCGAGCTTCTTGAATAACTGTTCGAGCTCGAGCTCGTATAAAACTCCCATGTTTGAGTTCGGCTCGTGTTCGGTTTGAGCTCGTTTAACTTCAAGCTTATCGAGCGGCTCGTTAAGGAGTTGAGCCAACCTCAAACACAAAATAAATTCTTTATTGAAATTCAATCGAGCAACTACCAACCCGCCCAGAAAAACACACACCGCAGTACATCCGTCCATCCCATACCTGTTAATGGCAAATGGCGCACCATGGCGCAAAGGTCCCTTTGGAGCCATGGCGCATAGCGCACGACGCGGTGCGCGCCATTTTGAAAATGGCGCAAACTAAATAAAATTTATAAAATAATAAACATTGTGGGCTCCGAAAATTCG